CTTCATAGAAAAACTACAAAAGGTTTAAAACTCAACTTCTAGGCTAGTTCTAAGAGCAACAAAAACCCTAGTCTGTGCTCTTGTTCTCTCTCGTCTTGACTATTGCAACTCTCTTCTTTCAGGTTCACCAAAACACTTCATAGAAAAACTACAAAAGGTTTAAAACTCAACTTCTAGGCTAGTTCTAAGGGCAACAAAACCCACCAAAAAAAAACGTGATCACGTCACTCCACTACTCCACTCACTCCATTGGCTCCCTATACAGGCACGCATTGATTACAAGCTGTCTCTTCTCTGTCACAATTTTTTTTCTTCGGATTCCTGCCCTTGTTATCTAACCGAAATTCTTTCTGTCTATTCACCCCTTCGACAGCTTCGCTCCTTCGCAGACACACATATTCTGTCCGTTCCCAAGACACGCACTAAAACATATGGTGAACGATATTTCTCGTTCTGCGCCCCAAAACAATGGAATTATCTCCCACTACATATCCACAATATACCGACCACCCAGACCTTCAAAACTGTACTCAAAACCCACCTCTTTAAACTCTACTATCCCGTCTGATTCCCCCCCCCCCCACACCCCTTTCTGACCGATAAACGATGCTTCTGGCTGCCGTCCATGGCTTGAAATGTAAAAGTTCTGGGGTTGGTGGTGTGAATATACATTTGTTCTTGTTTTGTTGTTATACAGCTGTTTGTAAATTAAATGAATGTATATATTTGTTTAATGTCACGATTATGTTTGCTAAAATAATTTTGATGTACAGCGCGGTGAGCCCAGCCCTAGGCTTGGCACCACGCTAAATAAGACCGCTAATACAATACGATACAATACATTCATTTTGATACCCAATACCTTCATTGCTAAGATCTTGATACCCAATACTTTCATTGCTGAGAATTTAATACCCAATATATTGATTTCTGAGATGTTCATACCCAATAACTTCATTGCTGAGATGTTTATACCCAATACCATCATTGCTGAGATGTTTATACCCAATACCTTCAATGCTCAGATGTCGATAGCCAATACTTGCTGATATATTGATACCTAATGTCTTGATTTCTGAGATGTTGTTACCCAATACCTTCATTGTTAAGATATTGATACCCAATACCTTCATTGTTAAGATATTGATACCCAATACCTTCATTGTTAAGATATTGATACCCAATACCTTCATTGTAAAGATATTGATACCCAATACCTTCTACCAGAAGTCAGACTGTCTGTCTGCCTCTAGGCCGACAATCCGATATTCCTTATTGTTCACGTCTTGCTGTCGTCCTAAGTTATATGACTAATACTCTGCTAAAAGTGCTCACATCTGCACGATGACCTACGTGTCCTTTATTCCCAAAAAATTATATTTCAATTAGGCCTAAGCAAGTGTAAAACAGTCTTGTTAAAGAAAAACTAATGGAGTGGTAATATTTATATCATTACTTTTGTTTTAATTTTTTCCAAAAATAAAATTGGGAACCAGGTTTATTCAATTCCTTCATTTGTAATATTCATTTTGATTGATCATTATCATGCTCATCAATGTTGTCATAGGAAAAGGTGAATAATATTGAATAATCCTAGGCCTAGGGAATGGAGATATTTTCATTATTATTTTTGTTTTATTTTTATTTATTTTTTAAAGGGAAACTAAGGCTTTTTCAAACCAGTCATTTCTTGAAATTCCCCCTTTATCATGTCCACAAACATTGTTACTGACGAAATGACATGCGTGTGCATGTATCACGGGTTCGTATTATAATTATTTAGTAGGCCTGCAGCAGACATGTTAACTTTATTTTTATTTTGGCGACCAATTTAGATGTCTTTTGCAATTCTCCGTCGAGACACGCCACAAAAACAATTTTAAGAGACCCGGTAAAAAAAAATAATTTTCCGCACCAATGGGGTTGAAAAAAGGGGGGGGGGGTTGGTCACCGAACGAAATAATTACGTCACCAGCACGGAAAGAATAGTGTGTTGGTACTAGGCTATATATTAATACAGCGATATCTTGCCAGCTATATATGAAAACACAAAGCATTAGTATGACGATAACCCCGAAACATTCTGGTATTTTAAAAACCTTAATTAGTTAATAACTTATATTTAGGTGACAATTGGCTCTATTAGAGCCACAATAACTATTGTAGGTAGGCTATATGTTCTAGGTTGTAATTATGTTATAAAAGGACACTCAAGGGTCTAGTTTGCATGAATTTTGCTACTCCCTCCCCCCACTTCCACATTTTCTCCTATTCATACTATTTTAAAAAAAATTTTAATGAAATTTTAAGTACTTTAAAATTAAAATGTTAAAAGCCAAATTATTCAATAGATGTTTTTTCTAAATTAATATTCACAATGATCTATTTTTTTATAAAAATAATGTAAATATTGATACTTTCCTCCCATCATTTTCAAGTATGCAGATCGTATGCCTGAAAAAATTTCAAAATATCTAAATATTTCAGTTTTAGCTTCGGCCAAAAGTCTCGTTAAGCTTTTGGTTAAAAGTCCTTTTTAATATTCGGCCTAGTTTCGGCTTTGGCCAAATCAGAAAATCCCTTTCGGCTGGTCACTACTTGGATGTTCTCTTTAGAAATCTTTTACCTGTTCTGTTATAGGTAGGCCCAAAGTCTGGTGAAAGTATATAGGCCTAACCATGAGTGTTAGCTTTTGAAATCATATACCCTTGTATCTAGTCTGGTGAAACCATATCATTAAAAATTATTATAACCATCTGGTGAAACTAAATTCACTTGTATGTAGTCTGCTGTGAACAAATACCTTTGCATAAACTTTTTATGTAGTCTTCTGAAAATTATATACCCTTGTATTTAGTCTTCTGAAAATTATATAACCTTGTATAGTCTTCTGAAAATAATGAACCTTTTTCTGTAGTCTTCTGAAAATTATATACCCTTATATGTAGTTTTCTGAAAATTATATTCCCCTTGTGTGTAGTCTTCTGAAAATTATATACCCCTTGCATTGAATCTTCTGAAAATTGCATATCCCTGTATGTAGTCTTTTAAAATCTATATACCGTTGTATGTAGTCTTCTGAAATCATATGCCCTTGGATAGCGGTTGGTAAACGCAAGGACCGAGGCATTTTTCATTTTTGCTCAAGGAGTGTTCCAGTTATTTTTAACAATAAATCGTTTGATTTTTTTTTAACCTCATTTGATTTACGGACCCTCCATCTTCTGAGGTGTTTTCCAAAGAGTTGTTAAGATCCCGGTCTCCAAAAAAATTACTTTACTAACAAAATTTAGAGTCAAATAAAAAGTTACAAATAATGAATCAATCTGGCACACGTCTGTGGTCAAATGGGAAATTTATCCACCGGTCCACCAAAGTTAATTGTTTCGGAAACTCTGCTCTTCATTTTCTGCTTGAGAACCTCTGTCGGATATTGGGACGAAATGATTTCCAAAATAAATGCTAACAACCAAGTCTTGATCAAGTTTATATTGAAAGCACATTTCTTACATCATAAATAAAAAAAAATAGAAAATTAAATTGATGTCAATTAAAGCATGCTGCTAAAACAAATTATGCCAATAAAAATTAAAGATGGTCCCATTTAAAGTGTTAAAGTTAACCATGAGAAAGTAAAATATTGGAAAACATTTCCATCATACATAATGAGTAAAACCTTTAAACAATAAGTGTATAGACAGGACAAGGTACCGTATTTAATTTATGTAAACAATTTTCTAAAAAATGGATTACTCTAACTAAAGTAAGGGGTATAAAATCTACGCAAATTGAATTCAAGCCATTACACATTTAAAAGACAATGCTTCGACTGTAGCTGGTTTGTGTTAGTCTACGAAACTAAGAACTGGACACTGATCAAATCAAGCAAGAAAAAAAAACAAGAGAAACATTTGTGTAGAAACTATGGGAAAAACATCTCTCGTTTAGGTGATACTTTCATATTTGTTCTTATGCACATACTGCAAGCATGATAACTGAAACAACGGTTGAAACGGTTCTGGAGATGGTACAAAATAAAAATCAATACAAACAAGAGATGGTACAAAATAAACATCAATACAAACAAGAGTTGGTACAAAATAAACATTAATACAAACAAGAGATGGTACAAAATAAAAATCAATACAAACAAGAGATGGTACAAAATAAAAATCAATACAAACAAGAGATGGTACAAAATAAACATTAATACAAACAAGAGATGGTACAAAATAAACATTAATACAAACAAGAGATGGTACAAAATAAACATTAATACAAACAAGAGATGGTACAAAATAAACATTAATACAAACAAGAGACGGTACAAAATAAACATCAATACAAACAAGAGATGGTACAAAATAAACATTAATACAAACAAGAGACGGTACAAAATAAACATTAATACAAACAAGAGATGGTACAAAATAAAAATCAATACAAACAAGAGATGGTACAAAATAAACATCAATACAAACAAGAGATGGTACAAAATAAAAATCAATAAAAACAAGAGATGGTACAAAATAAACATTAATACAAACAAGAGACGGTACAAAATAAACATCAATACAAACAAGAGACGGTACAAAATAAACATCAATACAAACAAGAGATGGTACAAAATAAACATCAATACAAACAAGAGTTGGTACAAAATAAACATTAATACAAACAAGAGATGGTACAAAATAAAAATCAATACAAACAAGAGATGGTACAAAATAAAAATCAATACAAACAAGAGATGGTACAAAATAAACATTAATACAAACAAGAGATGGTACAAAATAAACATTAATACAAACAAGAGATGGTACAAAATAAACATTAATACAAACAAGAGATGGTACAAAATAAACATTAATACAAACAAGAGACGGTACAAAATAAACATCAATACAAACAAGAGATGGTACAAAATAAACATTAATACAAACAAGAGACGGTACAAAATAAACATTAATACAAACAAGAGATGGTACAAAATAAAAATCAATACAAACAAGAGATGGTACAAAATAAACATCAATACAAACAAGAGATGGTACAAAATAAAAATCAATAAAAACAAGAGATGGTACAAAATAAACATTAATACAAACAAGAGACGGTACAAAATAAACATCAATACAAACAAGAGACGGTACAAAATAAACATCAATACAAACAAGAGATGGTACAAAATAAACATCAATACAAACAAGAGATGGTACAAAATAAACATCAATATCAGATGAAAGTGAAAGTAGGCAAATATTCAGTCACAGTTACATCATTAAAATTATCAGACTGCTTGATGGTGTGAAACATTAAAAAAATTAAATATATATACCAGGACGAATGAACATTTTACAATTCTCTTATTAGTTATATTATAAATAGAGTGAACAAAATAATTATTTAGTAATTATAATAAATTAAAAACAAACTTTTTTTTTTTTCAAATTGCAAAAAAATACATGGCACATTGTTTTGCAAACTACCGGTACTAAAAATGTCAAAAGAAGTAATGAAGCTATATAAAAAAAATTTTTTGGCATTCCAAACCGGGAGTCATGTCTTGTTAACCTTAGTGTGTGGGCTCCATGGCCACGGCAAAATTGAAGTGCAAATTTTAAGAATTAACTTCCACGATGTGATTATCTTAAACAGCACCAGTGTTAACTATGATGGGATGGTATTTAAAAAAAAAAAATTGAAATTGGAAATGTTAAAAAGCATTGATTTATGGAAAGACACAATGGGAAGACTCATTTATCAACATTTAATAACTTTTAAAAAGCAAATTTGATCTCGTAAATGCATTTTTTAAAAATTTGTGCTAAAATTCATGGAAGTCCATGAATGTATATATGGTGGGTTTTCTCTGTGCATAGTTGACAAAAATGTATTATTTAAAAAATTGAACATCTTGGATTGCCCAGAGTACTTGTCCTATTGTGCTGCATCCGTTCCTTACCAGTTATACCGATATACATAATTTTTTCCCTCCTCTGTCAGGAATGCATTTGTAACAGTTGCTTGCTTAGAGCAGAGAATCCAATTTGGTTACAATTATCAAATAATTTTGTTCAGGGGAACACATGTATTTTTATTCACAGATTTTTTTTTTTTTTACCAATATATATTTTTTTAGGCTAACTAAAACTAAAATGGAAGTCATCTTATTAAATATCGCATTAATTTAAATGCTGTGAATTAAGTCAGTGTAAAGGTAAGTTAGGAAAGGTATTTGATAAACGGGGGAACAAATGGGCATACTGAAAGGGATAGAGGTTTATTGCTTCATATCCCACAGTCACATATCCGAGTCACACATCCGCCATTCTCATATCACGCAGCCAACTATCCCAGTCAAACATACCAGTCTCATATCCCACAATCTCATATCCCAGAATCACACATCCCAGTCTCATATCCTACAGTCACACACACATAATCCTCAGTCTCACATCCAACAATCTCTTATCCCACAGTCTCACATCCCACAGTCTCATATCCCACACTAACACAATCTCATATATCACAGTTTCATATCCCACACTAACAGTCTCATATCTCACAGTTTCATATCCCAGTCTCATATCCCACACTAAAACAGTCTCATATCCCACAGTCACACATCCCACAGTCTCATATCCCACAATGTCATATCCCACATATTTAGACAAAGAAACCCTTTTTCTGGTGACATTGGTAACAAGAGGCTGTAAAATGGTTCCTCTTTAAATTGATTTTGAGACATTCATTTTAAACGCCTTTAAAAAAAACAATTTGATTTATCTATTTTTATCTACTTCTTTAAAAAAAAAACTGATGGTTTTCTTTATAAACTAATTATCATACGATGTTTTCTGGTGTTCGGAGATTAAAAGGCTGTGAAACAACTAAAAATATTAAACACCTTTTCACACATAACATCAGATTTACAAGATCAAATAGTCGTCATCTCACTTGGTGCGAGGGTCATTGAGTTTTTAAACTGATCATGCATGTTGCAATCATCTGAGACCAGCTCTAAGCATTGACAGCCGCCTTTCCTTGAGATCTACTTTTGATCAGGGGCGAGTTTTCTTCAGCCATTGAGTTGTAAGACTCCTCGTAATCTCCTCCCTCTTGCACGGATGACTGCACAGCGCTGGGGAACTCCTGGAACAAGGTCGGTCTAATTAGTCACGTGACAAGTGAAATTAAAACATGTGAAAAGTGAAATTAGACATGTGTCAAGTGGAATTAGTCATGTGATGAGTGAAAGTTAGTCATGTGATGAGTTAAATTAGTCATGTAACACGTAAAATTAGTCATGTGATAAAATTTGAGGTTGCTGGATATGAGACTGGTGTGTGATAAGTGGACTGATAATATCAAAAGCCTTAAGCAGAATTGTTTTCTCGTTTCAAATGCAATAAAAACCAAAGTCAAAATTTTGACTTGCCAACGCTAAGTGTACAGCATGTATAAAGTGAGGGGGTAGAGGGGGTAGTCATATTACTTGGCATGTCTCGATCATGAAACAGCAGTGACTTGCTGAGCTCACAGATGAACAGAGATGTGTTGAGATAACATCGACAATGTGTTGCTGAGCTCAAAGATGAACAGAGACGTGTTGAGATAACATCAACAGTGTGTTGTTGGCCTCATAGATGAACAGAGATGTGTTAAGATAACATTGACAATGTGCTTTTGAGCTCTCTCATAGACCAAGAAAACTTGCACACTTGACTTACCTGCATCTCTTGTTCCTTTGTACACCATGGAACACAAGGAACATCCATCAGTTGGTTGTACAATGCAGTGCCAATCAACAAAAAGGCAAAACCATCCACTGGTGAAGATAAACGCACAAAATATTAAGCTTCTATGTTCAATGTCCCCCATTGTGTTGAATATCCTTATTGTGTTCATGTCCCCATTGTTTTAATTTCCCTTATGTGTTCAATTTCCGCATTGTGTTTATGTTCCCTCTGTGTTCAATGTGTCCATTGTGTTTATGTCCCCATCACATTTAATTTTTACAGACAACTGTATGAGAATCAAATACTGACACCCACAAATAGGGTCACCTGTATCAGAAACAATTACTGACACCCACAGATAGGGTCACCTGTGTGAGAAACAAATACTGACACTCACAGATGGGGTCACCTGTATGAGAAACAAATACTGACACGGATGGGGTCACCTGTATGAGAAACAAATACTGACACTCACAGATGGGGTCACCTGTATGAGAAACAAATACTGACACCCATAGATAGTGTTAAGCACCCATGGGAAAGTCAAAGTGAATGATGTGACAATGAATTTACCTTGAAGTAATCCATACGATTTGTCAAAAGGCTCACCATAATCCTACAGAGAAACATCAAAGACAAACAATGGCGTCAGGAAGTTAAATGGCATTGAAACATTCAAAGAGTTAAATCTTGTTCTTAATTTAGGATTCCGAAAGCGAGAAACATACAACAATTCTAAGGATGTAATTTATTTATTTATTACACAGTCAACAATTCAGCTTGCTTTATTTATTACACAGTCAACAATTCAACTTGCTTTATTTATTACACAGTCAATGATTCAACTTACTTTATTTATGACATAGTAGACAAATAGGGAAGCTAACCAGACAATTATGGTTCTACAGGCATCTATCAGTGTTCTATGTACAGCTGAAATAGAAGTTGAAGCAATTTATAAACAGCTGTAACATAAGGTCAAACAAAATATGTACAGCTTTAACAGAAAGTAAGTCAAATAGTGACCTGGTACTCACCAGTCGGGGACCTGGTACTCACCGGTCGGGAACCTGGTACTCACCGGTCAGGGGATCTGGTACTCACCAGTTGAGGACCTGTTACTTACCAGTCAAGGACCTGGTAACGGCCAAGCCAAAGAAATTGTAGAAGGCAATGGACAAAAGATAGAGAAAGCACATGACCATGAGCTTGGCATCATTCCCCATCTGCACCAGGGCGTCCAGACTGTTCTCATAACTCCCGTGTGCATCACTCCCAGGTACAAAGTACATTGAAGGCAAAATTATCTGAGGAGATATGTTTGATTTCATGAAGACATTTCATATTTCATGGGCACATTTCTTTACAAACACCAAATAAACAGACTAATCAAGAAAGCTCGGAACATCACACAAACTAAACATCCTTCACTTGAAGAACTATTTGAAGAAAGATGTTATTGTAAAACTAAACAAATTTTGGATGATACATCCCACCCTCTTCATCACAGATACTTAAGATCGGCCTGTTCGGGACGTATTCTTTTTCTCAGGGCGAAGACTGAAAGATATAATAATTCTTTTGTTCCCCGATCCGTACGAATTTACCAGCGTGCTCCTCTTGAAGTCACAAAATCTCAAAGGAGAACTAATAAACTCCCTGCTATGACAAAAAGGAGTTCAATGATTGGCTGTTTTTTTTTACACCAGTGAAATACTTTAATGTAGAGATCTTGTGTTTCAATTGTTTTAGTTGGAAAATGTGGACTGACTTTATTAAATATGTACGGGTATTTATTTATGAGCTGAAAATGTATATGTACAATGCAATCGAAAAAACATTTCCATTTGTTTGGATCAATAAAAGAATCTATCTTATCTTATCTTATTTGCAGAAATTTTAAATCATATCGAGTAAATTCTTCATGTGGTAAAACATTGGCATTTATTCAATTACCCCATTACACATCCAATTTTTTAATTAATACAATGAGTTCACCCTAGCCTCTCAAAATCCTCCTACACCTAGGAGTAAGACAAGAACTTACAAATGTCATGAGAAGAAATCCAAACATCCCTTCCATACCAACAACCTGTGGCATTGGTGAGATATACATTAGACATGACATGGATTGGTGATGTTTAATTTAACAAGACATCTTTGTGTTTGATCATGGAAGGGTCATGAAAGGGTCATGTTTTGATATGAATGGGTTGTAATGACATGGTGATGTATTGTAATGACATGGTGATGTATTGTAATGCGTATCCAGAAATTTATTTGAAAGAAATTTCGTCGACAGAAAATTGATAGACGGAAATTTGATCAAACGGTAGTTTGATCAAATCTTTTTTCAGTTCACACGTTAAAATTTTGGTCAAATTTCTTTTTGAATGCACTGCAGTATATAGTAAAACAAAATAATGCGTTCAAAAAGAAATTTGACGCAAAATTTTATCGTGTTGACTAAAAAAGATTAGACCAAAACCATTGTAATGACATGGTGATGTATGGTAATGACAAGGGGATATAGTAATGACATGGTGATGTATTGTCCTTACCAACATTCTGAAAAAAAAAAAAAGCCTTGAACTAATTCCAAAAATAATCTCTTCAAATTTCCGACTCCAGTGAATGAGCGGTAATGGGGAAGTATGTTCCCTTTTTTTAAAAAAAAACTCCTGTATACCTTTTTTTAATATCAAAGAAAAATTCTCGTTAGGGACTCTCACAGGCATCACTACTGTGAACTGATGTCCCTTAATGGTTTTATTTATGCTGTTATTAAAGCCATTCCTATGGTTATTTCAAAAAGACCAACTGGCTTAAAGTTTGATGTTGTTCCATATTTATGGGCTGCATGCTTTGCAGTTTAAAAAAAATAATTTAAAAAAAAATTTATAATTAAAGGTTTAGATTACTATCTTTAAAGAACAACAGAATTCTAAAGAGTCATTTATACCTGCAGAGGGGGGAAATTCCTTTTCTTCAGAAATAATTCCTCTATGATCATCTGACAAGCACTGACCAACTGACCAGCCAAAATCAAAACTATTCCTGAGAGATGAAAGACACGCATAAAAGTCAAAGCAATTTCACTAAACAACTCATTGGGCCTGGCATAGGTTAAATCATACAAATATATCCGAGACCAACCAAAACTCTGGTTTTGACATAGGTTCCATGACCAGATCCTGAGACATTGATGTTCAGCGCCAGTGTTGTTCCACTAAAGTTTGTATGTGCTTAGCTAAAATTAATTCTTCTTTTGTACTTTGTTAAGTGGTTAAGAAAATTCAGCTATATTTTCTGACCTTTTTTTTAAATTTAAACAGTATTTAATGGTAGTGTGAGGTAAAATCTATGTACAATATTATAATCTTAAATGGCTGTAAATTGTTATATTGTGGTTTAAAAAAAAAAAGTATATATAAGATTTGCTGACATGAAATGTACACGATTCAATGATTCCCCTTTGTAAGTCAGAGTACACATTAATCAATCAAATATTGCAATGGTTTCATCTGGATTTTTTTTCATTTTAACTTGACATTTTATCATTGGAAGCTAGGAAATGGGGCAAATTCAGCTTAAGAGCAAATCAACTGCTTATACAATGAAGTGTTAGTCCAAACCTAAGTTACAAATGGTTACATATTGTGCATTGTTACATATTTTTTTATTTTTGTGTATTGTTACATCTTGTGTATTGTTATATATTTTGTATTGTTAATGATTGTGTATTGTTACATTTTTTTTATATTGTTACAGATTGCGTATTGTTACTTTTTATATATTGTTACAGATTGTGTATTGTTACATATTTTATATTGTTACAGATTGTGCATTGTTACTTTTGTGCATTGTTACATGATTTATATATTGTTACACATTGTATATTTTTTACATGATTTATATATTGCTACAGATTGTGTATTGTTACATACTTTATATTGTTACATATTGTATATTGTTACTATTGTGCATTGTTTCATGATTTATATATTGCTACAGATTGTGTATTGTTACATATTTCTAAATTGTTGCAGATTGTGCATTGCTACATGACTTATTTGTTACACATTGTGTATCGCTACATATTTGTATATCATTACATATTCTGTATTGTTACATATTTTTATATTGTAACAGACTGTGTATTGTTACATACCTAAAATTGCCTTTGAGTCCTCACTGTTTTTATTCTTAAAGACACTGGAGCAACCCACCAGTATGAGGCCAACCATCACCACGGACATTCCCAACCAGTGGATGGGTTTCAGTTTGCGTTTGAGGAACACTTTCTGAATTAGGAATTGGACACCATTGTTAGTATGGAATACTTTGTGTGAAACTTAAATTAAAGTAGAATATGGGAATGCTTGGTGTAAAGAGAAATGTGGATTTATCAGACGATTGAGATGTTATGAGAACTTTCATTTCTCCCGGTGACTTGTCTCAGTGGACTTTCAAAGTTTTTGTGATAAAGCAGAAAGTTGTGAATTCTTACAGACAAAATCCCAGCAAAAATGATGATGGCGCCACGTAACATTTGCCAGACTGAGGCGTCAACATAGATCAGGCCAATACCTGGAAGATAGCAATCAAACTAATCAGTATACAGCAAACTAGAAGTAAAAATGGGTCAAATATGTCAAAATGAGGCAACTGTTAATAAAATGAAGTTTTAAAAAAATAATTTTTAACACAGTTAAATTCGCCCGTAGAATTTAAATTTAAAATCCAAATTTGTGTTTTGGCTTTTCCGTCCGGCTTAATAACTGTCATCATTGAGCGGAGAATTAGATCTTTCTCCTTGCTGCCGCCATCAGTGGTAACGTACCTGCCAAGGATGTTCCCAGAAGGTCACAAATTGTGGGTATTATTAGAATCCATTGCCAGACCCTGGACGATTAAAAAAGGTAATTGTAATTGTATCTTTTATAACAAATTCACAATATAATTATTATTTCAATGTCATTATTACAATAGGAGAGATTATGCAATCCATTGAAGGCATAACTGACTCAACAGGTTAGGGAACAGATCACTGACCAATGATTGAAATCAATCATAGTCAAAGCTCTAGGGCTCAGCCAAGATTAAACCCGTGCATATTGCTTGTCATAAAGACATCTGTGTTGCAAAGAGTGTATAGTTTCACCACAAAAGTTAGTCTTCCACAATGTTTTCATTTTTTTTTTTATTTTTTTTACATGAACACCATAGCTCAACATTTTCTTATTTATTGATTTGATTTTAAAAACAACTTCTTTCTCTCCAGGGAAAGATGGCAGGACTGAAGTAGTTAAGCTAATTCTCACTGATACTAGGAACTGTTAAGAACCATGAGACCTGATAGCTTACCACAATTGTTTTTAGTGAGTAACTTCAAGCCCGGCACCATACACTTTAGTCAACTGATTCAATTTGTAGTAAAATTATTACTCTTATTTACGTCAACTGATTCTCCTCTTCATTAAATTATAATACTTTTCTATGTCAATGGATTCACTTCTTAGTTAAATCATAACTCTCATTTATGTAAACAGATTCACATTCTTAGTTAAATTATAAATATTTAGGATTTATTTTAGAATACAGTTTGTGAAAACTGCTTGCATCATTAGGCAAAACTAAATTCATGAAGACTGTATTTATGTAATACTATTAGATTTTATGTAGGGCTATATGCATGTTACACTGCATTCATGCAGAACTTTATGTATATAACACTTAATATCATGCATATTCTGTTTGAGGCCTGAGCTAACGCTCTTAAAGCCTAGTACATTGGCAACCAGTTCCATCTGTTGGACTGTGCCATATAACATTGTCATAATGTAGGACTCTTTGCCGCCAGGTCCCCCCCCCCTCCAGCAACATCCAGCGCAGGGCACAAAGTCAACTGATGAGCCAGTGTCTCCAGGGCCAGTGTGCAATGCCTCCTGGTCAGATCCCTGTTGTTGTCTAGTATGTAACACTAATTTCAATGCCCCAAATTCTGCAGAAGGAATCTAGAATGTAAATCCACAGTACCTGGGATGGTGTTCTACTTCAGGGGGATTATGTCCCAGTTTGTTGGACCAAGCAGTCTAAAGGAAAATTATTGATAATGAATGAAAAGACAAGATAATAATTACATCAAATAGAAAAAAAACAAAAAACACCCATTTAAATTCATGAACACAATCTAATTCTGCTAGTAGACCTGGTTAAACTGGAACTCCCAAAATAGTACAAAGACATCTCAAAATCGTACTCTGAATTACCCACATTTTTTAGTGTGTTCAGGAATTATTATTTAATCACCAGCCACCCTACGAGATTAATTTGTAGCTCAAGAGTGTAACAAAGGCATTAAGCTGAAAGATTGCTACTTGGAACATATTTGGCAGAAATAACTTATGAACCGATTTGTCACAAATTTAAGTAGATGAATTAAAACCAAACAGTTATTACCACACGTTCTCTTTCTTTCTTTTGTCGATGGCGCATTATAAAAAGTCCAATTAGACAGGTGCTCTCCCCTGAAAACATAATATTAAAAACAAAATAAACACACACAAAATGGCAGATATTTAAAAAGTTTACCACAAATCCAAAGTTTCTTTTAATAAAATTCTTAAGTGATTTTGCCTTTAATTTTTAAAATCTGAATAGCTCTTGATACAAAATTTAAAATATTGACCTCAGTGGAGTAATTCAAGTTTGTGATGCCCAGAGCAGTCCTTGACTTTGCCACCCCTTATTATTTGAAACTACAATGCATACAAATTTTAAAAAGATATATAAAGTATGAGATGAACCAAAAATGCTGCCCCAAAATAATTGCAGCCCCCCTTCCCCCCCCCTTTCTATGCATGTGATTGACATAGCTAGGAATCAGGAGTCTGGGTGTGTGAAAAAAATTATAATGGCTTATCAAGTCACAAAGTTGTTGCCAATAAACTGACCTCATAACAAAATAGATTATAAATTTCTTTGACTCCAGCCGAAATGCCCATAGCTCTGACTGCCTAACTTTAATGCTACAATTATGAAGCATGTCTGAGACAGCAGATGGGCAAACATACCTATAAACATAAGCCATGTCTGAAACCAGGGGTGGTTAAATGTGTGCGGCTTCCAAGATGTACTGTTCTCATAATGGTAACCCTCAGAACTGAAAAAGGTATAAATAGTTATTTTAGTTTTTGGGTGCTTGGAAATATTCTGGCATGATTTTACTGCAATATTGGTCTACATATTTTTTGTAAAAAGCTGAAAGTTATGTAAAAAAAACTTTAACCTACGCCTACACTTTCGTAAAATGAGAGAATACTAAATAATTTTATTAAAAAATTTACCAAGTGGTGAAATGACATTTAATAGCAATGAAGTTATGAACAAAATGTAACAATAAGTGCATTGATAGCCCATATTGTTCAAAATGAAGCTCCAAGGGCATTGGTCAGTTCAACGTGATTTATGGTCAGTGTAATATTTAAAAATACCAATAGGTGTACAAAAAATGTATTGTTCGTCCAAGGCCATATTAGACTTGAGTATTAGCCTTGATTTTGTTTAAAGTGATGGAGATTTGCTCAGTTCGTCAGCCTCACTATCTTGTTCTTGTCTATTTGATCCAGTGGCAAGACTTAGTCAAGACGAATGGAAATAGACCAGGATGCAGTAAATGATCAGACTAGTTTTTTTGTGTGCTTCACTGCACCCTTTGTGTGCTCCACGTCGCAGGATTTGGCAGACTTTTCATTTATATGGGGCTCCATTTCCGGGTTCGTTTTCAGGGTTTGTCTTCTCTTACATGAATTGCCATCTAAGGTTAATGAATCCCATCTACCGGGATGCTAGATTTGTTTTTTTTCTAGGCTTTTGCTGTGGACTGAACTCAAGTCCAAAAGATTTGGATTATATATAGTGTATTATTGACTGATAGGAGGTATCTACACATATAGCAATAGTGGTAAATGGTATAATTGGATCAGTCCGGTCAAATGCCATTTTGAGCACTTCTTTCATATAAGTGTACCTATCTTTTTTGTTGATGTTACTCACTGATGTCAGCAGCAGCATGCCACAAACCAAAGTAGAGATCAACACAATAATCTGTGCACAAACCTCGTTCGAACCCTACTGCATTCTCCGTGGCAAAATAGCCTTGTTTTTAATTAATAAATAAAAAAATATGACAGTGATGTAATTATCTTGGTGCACTTTGTAAGCAAGGGGCGAATACACTCAAAAACAGAATAGCATTTGAACTAGCAGATCCTATTCCTATACCAAAGCTAATAAACCAAAAATTGAAAATAAAAACAGATTGATGATGACACAATCACCTATATTTTTCACAGTAAAATTACCACATGACCTGTATGCAGCATGCATATAACCAATCAAAACATCATAATGATGCTCATAAATATTAAAGAACTGAAAATATTGCTGGGACTTAATTCAAGAAGAAATGAAAAATCAATATAAACACTATCATTAGCCACTATGTCACTATGTCAAAAAACATAATTAAAACACAAATACTTTATTTCTTATTCTCTGAGTGACATTGCAATACATGTTCATGCACTTGCTAGTACTAGTGATACTAGTGCATAAATAAATTAGATGCCTCTGTTGGTTGGGATATTTCATACTCATACATTTACATTAAATGTTGCGCAGCCAAATCATTTTAATTTTAATTTATAATAATTATAATATCTAATCTATATTATAGTATAAGCCAAGTATAATGTATAGCTATGCTATAAAGTAAAGGCTATAAGACTATATATAGGCAATAGAATAAGACCTGATAGCAAAAAAAAAGGGGGGGAGGGTGGACAGAGAATAGATTTGTTTAAGTTTATTTTTCAAATAAATTACTGATACTGAGTAGGCCTAATTAATAATTTAATTTATTAATTGAATCAATGATTTGATGTTGCTACTACTACTACTGACTACTGACCTGATACTGCCCTACTGCCTACTGACTACTGTTAATTATGTTAAACTTTAATACTGCCGGCGCCGATATTCATTTTGACTCATCTTGAAAAGACATTTGTTAAATTTACTTTGCATTTGCTTAGCTGAGAAACTTACATGCACTGAAGTTGTACTTTTTTTGTAAGTGTATTTATGCTTCCTGTTATTAGCATCCCAAGCATAAGTAATATTTGTTTACACGTGAGCGCCATTTTGAAAAGAACGTCATGTGAACAAGTCACGTGATAAATCATCTTCTGAAAGGCACCCTTAGCCTCGCGATTCTAAAAATATTTTTATTTGAAGCACAGGAATACCAAATAATCAATGTAATTAATTATAGTAATTGAGCTGTAATTCTGAGAACCACTGATACAGGCTTTCATTTTTTTTTAAGTTGACCAAGTAGGCCTACTCATACTCCTTCGAATCGTTGACCAAGAACTTTTTTGAATAGTTCTTCTATATCTTGAGTGCCAAGATCAATGAATGATCATTCTGGCTCCTATTTATGTAGAGGGCAGTGGCATAGCTTGGGTTGGTGTCACACGGTGCGTTAAAATCATTGTGTAGCGGCCCCCCCCCTACCCCCGATGGATTTCTTCTTTTTAATATAAGTCCACAGTATAACAATGACAAGAACAAAAGCAAATTAATTGAAGGCCAGGGGTAAATATATTTAAGAACTGTAACAGTTATTTTTACATTTAAATTCATTTAATTTACTTTATTTAAAATTTTCCTTTCCTGGTCTTCAGTGCTGCAAAACTGTCAATCATTTGATCAAAGTCAATATTTTAACCATATCACTTTCAACTGATATTAGAGCCAGAAAAGAATTGACGGTCCCATGGTGGATCGTAAATATTTCTCACACATGCACTTAGATTGATTTCATGTGTAGAAAATTTACTTGTGATCGGTTATCCTTTTATGAAATTTGGTTTGACCGAGCAGTGTGTTCTCTGTAAATAAGCAAGTTTTCAATTTGGTGTCACCTCTGAGATGGTGCCACCCGTTGCGGTCCGCACCCACGACACTCCTAGCTACGCCACTGGTCCTAAAAAGAACGAAAAAGGGGGGGGGGGGTGTAGAAATGGTCTATAGACTATATCCTAAATGCCACATTAAATAAATTGTTTCTAAATGGCAAAAATAGAACTAATAACTATATTTTTAAGCACGATTACAATAAAAAGAAAGAAAAAGGGGGGGGGGGGTGTAGAAATGGTCTATAGACTATATCCTAAATGCCACATTAAATAAATTGTTTCTAAATGGCAAAAATAGAACTAATAACTATATTTTTAAGCACGATTACAATATATTATATAATTAACACACTGACTACCTTAAGTTAAGTTGCATCTTACATTATAATGAAATAGAAATTGAAAACTTACTGCTGGTGTTGGATAGTTAGCGTGATGGCGTGAAATAAATCAAAATATAGGACTTAACGGCGATGAAAAGTTAGTTAAATTCCATATTGTTCCATATAGGTCACATTTTCCCTCATAATATAAGTCTTCAAAATGGGTATCTTTGCAGAAATAGTGGTATCAAAAATAAAATATATGGAACGTAGCGATATTTCATTGGTTTCATCATTTCATTCATTTTAATAGGTGAAAAGTACCAATTATAACTCTTTTTAAATTAGTTATTTTTTTAAATCGTTACATTTTGAACATTTTTTTCTCCGGTGGTAGTTGGGGGATGGATGAAAAGGAGGGGGGGGGGCGAAACCCTTTCCCAAGAAATGTCTGAAATAAACAATGGTCGAAATCAATAAATAGGCCTACATGAAAAAAAAATGCCAATATAACAACGGGAAGAAATGTTGTTGTTTATCGGGTGAGGCCTATTTTTGGAACAAATACAGTATTTAGAATCGATACCGCATCTAAATTTGCCTTAAATTTTGAGCATTGTGATTTTTGATTGGTTTCATTATTGATTATTTCACTAATTTTATTCTGAAATATTATGTTTTCTTTTCCAAAAAAATATTTTTAAAAAGCCCTATTTTTATAATCTATCTTGGAAAGGGCCAATTAATTCAAATATAATTAATTAATTCAGTGCAGTCTGCGCAGATAACTAGATTTTATTTATTTTTACAGGTTTTGCGGAATGCCACAATTTTTGACAAAATAATAATTAATATGTTAATCTCTCCCTTGCTGAAATTTAAAAAAAAATACAAGACAATGTCATTCTAACTCTAAAAGGGTGTGCCTATAATGTTCCGACAGGTTCAAGTTTCCTGGAAAGTCTGCTGTTTACTAAAAAATCATCAAGGATATCGGGATCCCGGGAGAGAGCCCTTGAACTTTGTAACCATACGTTACTCTTTAAAAAGGGCGAAATTATTTAAAAACTTTACGCTGATATCGGGGAACTCCGTTTCGTAGGGGGAAAAAACAAGGGAAAGTCCCGGTTTATGAAAATGAAACAATTAAAATAGGGCCAAGTCCTCTCCTACACAAGACTAATCCTAGATTATATAAATTATTTTATATACCCTTATTATTAACTTATTTATTATTATTTAATAATATTAGTGTCACTAAACACGAGTCGGAATAATTTATCCAGATTCATTATGAATTAACTATATAATACTATTAATAATAGTATATAATATAATTATATAGTATATAATATAAGAAATTAAATAAGAAAGCAATAAAAGTAATAATTCAAATTTGTAATAAAAATGTTAAATTTTAACAAACAACGACTAATACTAATAACGTCAACAATTTTGACAAATTGACGCCTAAATAAAATTGACGAATTTGTTACAAAATTTATTTTGAAAAGGTAAAAGTAAATTTTACATTCATTAGTTAGTATCAGTCACTGAGTCAGGCCTAGCCTACTAACTATTAAATTTAAATTAAATTATTAATTTAATTAACTATGAATATGTTTTTATTTTTTATGTAAGACTCAAGGCCCTACTAACTTATTAAGTGTAGTGTGTATACTAGCTAGTATTTTTCCATGCTATGACTAGATTGCTAGCAAGTTCTGAAAGCCAAAGCCTTGTAGCCTTGAGTAGGTCTAGTCTAGTCATATTATGATGTAGTAACTAGTACTACGACTAACTTACTAACTACTAGTAGTTGTAGTAGTAGTCGTACTGAAGGCTGACTTAACTCTTAGATTAATTCCTGCCTTAATGAAATGATAATGTTACTTGTATGTGTGTTCAGTCTATTCTATGTTTCTAAGTACAAGGAGTATGAGGCTATAGACATAGTACATAGTCATACTCTAGTCACTCTAGTATTGGAAGAAGATTTCATACTTATTTTTATTATTATCATTATTAGTAAGTAGGCCTTTTTTGATCTAAAAATAAAAAAAACACAATAATTGTCACAAGATGTAGACCTAAATAATTTATTTGTTTCAGAGGCTAAAAAACACTTGTGTACTTTATTTATTTTCTCCTTGACCCTTGAATGAAAAATTCCCAGATATCAGTGTATTATAAAAAAAAATTATATTCATTTTTATGCAACTCTATTTAAATGACTTGCTATAGAAAATATGAGTTTGTTAATATACTATGGAGCAGACTTGTTCCAATTAATTTATAAGTTCATTAATACTATTATTGCTAAAGTCCATAAAAACCATTGCCAAGTCATAAGTTCATTTATTCTGTTGTCAGCAAACTCCATGGATGCAGATTTATTTTCGTTGCTACGGCAAAAGCTGGGCCAAGGCTACACTTCTAGAATGGATCCAGATATGGAAAGTTTTAAAATTTCTTTCCCCACTTTAGAGCTAGTTCAGAAAACTCTGGAATCTTTAGAAGTTAGTGACGATAAGACACACAGGTTTGTAGATTAATGGGTATAAATATTTATAAATTTAAATCGTAATTAAGACTAAGTTCTTTTAAAAGAAGAGCAGATAAAATAATTGTAAGAATTGGATTAAAGTTTTAAAAAAGGAACATTATGGACACAAGTCGTTTTGAACTTGTGACTAGTAAAATTTCTTTAACACATCACAGATACGCTAGAATAACATCCTACCAGTCTCATTGAGGATGTTTCAAATTTTTAATTAAAAAACAAACACTGTTAGATTTTTAAAAGAACACTTTCGGTAGAAGTAGAACTGCTAGTTACATAAGAAAAATTCTGATTAATTTGTGTATATTTTCTAAATTGCTTCTTAAAGAAATTAATTTATTATATTTCCTGAAGTGTGGGAAAATAAAATGTTAACATCCATGTTGATGAAAGAAGAAGCTAAAATCTGTTGAATCTTTTTTCACCTCTAACAGAAGAGCTAATCAGTTTCATAAGCCATGCACAGTATCTGCCTCATTAGCCAAAGCAGAGAATGGAGCAAGGAAAGATGATACCAATAATACCACTGAACACTGGGATGGGATAGAAGTAGAATTAGGAGGAGACAGACCATTGTACCATTGGAAGAATGGATCAATGAAAGATGGTACCAATAATACAGCTGAAAACTGGGATGGGCTAGAAGAAGAAGAAGTATGGGAAGACAAACCGCTGGACCATTGGGAGAATGGACAAGTGAAAAAGGATACTGTTACGACTGCTGAACTTGGTGATGGGTCAGAAGGACAAGTATCAGCAGACAAAACAGTGGACCACTGGGAGAACGGACCAGTGAAAGATGATACTTTTAAGACTGCTGAACAAGGGGATGGGGCTTGCCTGGTTGAAGGAGAAGCAGTAGCAGACAAAAAAGTTAACTCACCGAAGAAAAGAGAAATGTTCAACAAACACAACCCAGCCGAGATGGCGCTGAACAACAAAGTCATTTTTTCAGAGTTCCAAGAAAAACAGGTAGTTCTAATTTCCCGTCACACACGTCTCTAATTAGTTGAACCCCAGTGACCCTGAGATGCGACTATGTAATTCCTATAATGTTTATGTTACATTTTTACTAATAATTTCGTACTGTTATAGGGCCCTTGCACATATTATATAACACAAAAATATGAACATGTTTTATCCACTCCTACCCCTTAAAACATTTTATAGCATTTCCATTGACTAACCACCCCC